CCATTTTTATTGCCAAACAAAGACCTTTACAAAACCCTATAAAGAAATCTCTAATAGGCCAGGAATAGAACCCTAATAGGCCAACACCTGAAAGGCAAACTTCACCCTGCTCCCTCACCACCAGAGGTGGAGGGAGAGGACAAAACGTTTTGCCATGAACAAAAGGCAGAGTGTATCGAACCTGCAGTTTCAAGAAGGCTGCAGGATATTCCGTCACTTGAAAGCAAATTTGCTTCTGATTCTGTACACATATCTTTAACAGAAGTCCGGCATCCCCTAAGTGCGAGCTTGATCCCTATGTTTTCAAATAAGAGAACCTTTAGTCAGAGGCTGGTATGAGCAAGTGGTGTCTTTGTGTGTGAGCACTTCCTGTTTTCATTCCATGATTAAACATATTCTTTGCAGCACAACTAGGGGAGCTCTTGAAGGTGGCAAGTGGAGGTGCCTGAGAGCCTCATCGAGCACACTAAGGGCTTCTTGCCATGGAGGAGTTTTTCACCATCATGAATAAACCGTTAGCGTGGGCATTACTTCTTGCTGTTTCTTTCTTCAACTATCTTTGAAGTCAAATAAAAACAGTTGTAACGGCAGGCTTACTTTTATGATATCGTAATCTCCATGTGTTAATGAAAGGAATATACTTCCCAAGGATTTCCCTAAGATTTTTTTTTTTTTTTGCCATTGGGTACTTTGCAGCAAAAGCACATACATTTCCAATAGATTCTTTCTTCCATCTTCACTAGATTTCTTAGTCTGACATGACAGCCAGGCACAGCCATCAACCAAGAGAAGAGGGGGTCAAAGCACAGACAACATTTGCAGTAGCTGAACTTATAAATATATATAATATATATATATATATATATATTATATATATATATATTATATATATATCTCTTCAAAATTATTATGAGTTTTTTGAAGGGAATTTTTTAAAGACATTTTGGAAATTGGTAGTTTGAAACTAGAAATGAATTACTTAGCTTCAGATTAAGCAAATTCAAAGCGCTTAACTCTGAATATGAAAATTCCTCAATTCATCAAATAGCTTGTTTTTTTCAATGCCACTTTGAATTTAGTTTAAATAATTTCCTCAAGATAATCAATAAGCTGCAGGTATATTACCTTTTCCCCTAATGCTGGTGGTGCATAGGAATTTGAACTGTTACAATTGTAGTGAAACTTGTTCTTCCGAGAAAACTGAAGGTTAATGATTTTTGTCATATTGAGAATAAGACTTAACAATTGCTACAGTTGGCCTTTGTTGAGGTGGGGTTCTTTTTTCTCTGGGCCTTTTGAGGTATTCAGAATAGGTGACAATAGTTTGCAGTTGAGAACATATGTAGAGAGACCCCTGTGGCTTATTGGAAAAAGTTGCTCCATGCTGCTTTGGTGTTTGGAAAAAAAAAAAAAAAAAACAACCAGAGTTCTTTTATGTTCTGCTAGTTAATGAATGCATGAATGTCAAAATGGGCCAATGGCCCATTCAGGGGGCAAAGCCTTAGCAGCCCCCTTCTTTAAGAACACATCCTGAGATGCAAAATACATTTGCTTAACAAATTAAAATAATGAGATAATTCAATTAGTTTCTTTTTAAAAAAAGAAATAAAAAAGGGTACACCGGGATTATTGTAGTACAAGAACAGGTCATACTGCACAAAAGGGAACAAACCAGTTTGAAATAATGTTAAAGAGACTAATAATGGAGGAATGCACATTGAATCATGCACTTGTAAAGAAATTTACATGAAATAATAATTTAGCCTACATCTATTTTCCGTGAGCTGCAGCCAACATTTCACTTTGAAAGTTGAAATTAATTAAAAGCCAGAAAAAAATATAGTGGGGCATCTCTATTTCCAAGGACTTCCTCATGCCTGTTAGAGCACGTAAGAAAAGAAGTCTAAATTAACACGTCGCTAGTTAGGGATCTCTATTCTTGGTTTCTGAGCTCAGAATTATAGCCGAGTAAATCTTTCAGCTCATTAAAGGTTAGAAAGTAGAAAGTTTTACAGGACCATCCTCATCAAAGTTACTGAATCTCTTCTCTTCAGTTAGGGAGATGTCTGGATGAAGAGAGAAGTTCTTTCAAAGAGAAAGCCAAGGAGAATTTCCTTCAGACACAAGCGGGGTGCAGAAAAGGCAGGGGAGAGGAGAGAGGGCAAGACTAGGAGACAAAGCCAGTGGAAGAAAGTAATGAAAGGGCCATGTTGTGAAAGAAGGTCGTGGGAGGAGAAAAACAAAGCACTTAGTAGAAAGCAAAAAGAAAGGGGGACTGGGAAGAAAGGATGGCCAGAGGCTAGGACAGAGCAGTGCTCTGACTAAACACTCCTGAGCAGAAGCAAAACCTGTGAGCATGGGAAAGGAGCCTGCCACGTGGAGATCCTGCAACCTGTACCCCTCGTTTCAAAAATGTGGAAATGGAAGGTCCAGAGAACTTACGGGACTTAACTGAGGTTCAGCCCCTACAAAGGAAAACTGAACTTGAAACACTGGTTTCCTGGACTCCCCAGCTCTGAATATTTGAGCCTCCTCTCCCCACTCCAAGGACAGGCATTCATTAAAAATTTGCAGGTGGACAGAGAATGCTGCACACAGCCTTATATACATTTAACTAGCGGAATGCACTTGTGGGGTGGGGATAAGGTCTTACAGTTGGATACTAGCACCCTGCACAGTACAGCCACAATGAGTGTCCAGGAATCACTGGCCACCCACAATTCTTCACCAGTGGCCATGGTGCAGAGTGGGTTTCTTTCACAACAGGGACAGGACAAGGCAGAAGGTCCAGCAAGGGCTCTGAACATGTCCACGGAAAATTCAAATCACAGAATACAAGCGAAGGAGAGCACTGGCTTGAAGAGAAGGGTGCAGAGAAAGTCTTCTCTATTTGGAAAGGCTGGAGGAGCAGGAAGCTTTCAAGACAAGAAAAGCGCCCTCTGCTCTTCCATAGGGCCCCACCTTTGACGCTGAGTGTGTTGATGGCACAGGTCGTGAGATTTATACCCAACTGTTAAAGGTGATAATGATTTTAGCAGTCATCATAAAGTGGTGGAAAAAGCATAGATTTGGGGACAAGGAAAGCTCGGGTCCTGGTCAAAGCTAATCACTTCCCTTTCTGGGCCTCAGTTTCTTCATTCGTCAGCAGAGCAGCTCAGTCCTCTAAGGTTCTGTTGTTTCGTGACGCTGGTTGGTTTTTATGACTGAGGGAGATGTTTGCTCAGAAAGCAATTGTTGAAGTCTTTCTTTTGGGCCAAGGAAGGTGGAGCGGGAAGGAAGGCAGAGGGAGGAAACGGAACAGGTAAGCTCCTGGGAGAGAGCGGCATGCCTGCCCTCCATCTGCAGGCCGTGGTACCCGGCCTTTCTTAGTTGCTACTCTAACCAAACAAACCTTCAGTTCAAAATGAGGAACCCCTCCCCTCACACTCACTCGACTTCCAAATTAAAAACATTTTACAGGTTAGTAAATCTCCAGCTGAGGTGATGTAGCAAAGAACAGCTGTGAAGTAATTTTGATAATGATGAGAATAATAACCACATGGCAAAGGTTCAGGGCTTCGCTGTTGCAGCTTCAGTGCTCCTGAATAGATAAAAGTGATTAAATACTCCTGATTATCCCTGACCAATATGTAATGGATTTACAGCCCTTTCAATTAGTCAGTATTTGCTTAGGACTCATTATTTTGTCTTTGGTTAAGTAATCAGCCCAGAGACCGCATGTTCTGTCTAATTCCTCTGAGCCGAGTCAGTGCAGGGCCCTGACCTTTGCAATGGCCATAGCTGCAAGGCGAGAATAACCACTGCCACGGCGGCCTCGTTGGTTCTCCCCGCTAATCCTGACACCATGGGCCAGATCGATACACCTTCGTTTGCTACTAATGTCCTTACATCAAAATGGCCGATTTAGGAATGTGAATCTATCACTTTGCCCTCCCCACCACCACTCCGCCCCTTGCCCTTTGTAGCTCTGCAAGAAGAGCAGATCAGCAGCCACCACCATAAATAAAAATGGAACCTTGTCCTGGACCCATGACACTGTAACTAATGTCATTCAGCATAGCAACACGCAGGTTGGGTAATCAAAGACCTTCAGCTTTCAATGCGCTACTCTATTTTTAAGCATTAGCCTAAATAGAATGGCCTGAAAACAATATTATAGCAAGAAACAGCCTCTGAAATCTTTACCATTTTCCCAGAATTGCCAAATGAACAGTAAAATATAAAAGTGCCTAGTTCCTCTGTAAAAAATATATTGTAATTTTTTTTTTTGTCACGCGAGTCTTCGAGTCAACAGTATATACCGACACATAAAACCCACATAAAACCGATTGCAAACAGGAGGATAAAGATAAATTGTTACTTTAAAAATGTTGCACATAGTTGATCTTTTCTCAGAAGTGAAGAGGGTCAGTTTATAAGATAATGGACTTGAACAGCTAAAGAAGAATCTTTCATCTCCACCTTCCAAACAAAGGCGCTATAGCACCTATACCCTTCTGCGTTTGTCATACACATGACATGTATGCAAGCGGCTTCAGCGATTACAGTTGCACTTGACGCTGTGAGCTGGGACATACATGTATGTGGTGAGGTGCATTTTTTACCTCCTAGAGGAGATGGCTTTCGTTACACGTATGATCAGCAATGCTGATGGATTCACAGGCTCCTTACAGCCATCCCCCTTGGTTGCAGTTGCATTATCTGAAGCCACTCTCAGGCCTTTTAGCATAAATAGCAAATTTACTCGTATAGACTGTTTAGGGTCCTAGACCCTTTTGGAATAGGTCCATGCCTGGCCTATGGAAACAAAAATCGGCTCTGTTCTAGAGAGCGCCCTCTGGATGGTGAGAGTTGATGAAACCTTAACTGCTCTGCTAGTCATCAGGTTTCAAGAAAGGAAAAATGGGCATCTTATTCTAAGAAACCCATGTGAACCCGTATACCTTGCTGGGAGAAGGCAAGACAACAAAACTTATTTTTGCTCTTTCATCTTGACTTACTGTGAGATGCTGGAAGAGCCACGCTCTCATGATATTTGTTGCTACTTTGGGGAAAATGCCTCTTTTCTTCTGGCGTTTTTTGTCCTTGTCGGGGTCATCATCATCACCTGTGCCAGGTGACGCTACACTGTTGTCTAAACCATCCCCTAGTAGGAAAAAAAGAAAATACATTAGAGAAAACACAGAAAGGGGGCCAACAACACAGCGCAACTAATGATGAGCTCAGCTCAGCTTGTTGAAAGAAATCCATTAAGCGGGTATATTCTCTTTCATTAAAGTATAATTGGAGATACAAATATGTAAAAGACAAAATTAAACCAGGCCTCTTCAAATGTTAATTTTGTGTGTCTCACACTCGCCCATATCATTAATTCAATTATAATTGTGCGCTTGACACAGCGCAGTAGCTCTTTGTCAATTATGGAATCCAATGTGGGAAAACCGCCATCAGAAAACCCATTCGCTGAAAATGCATCCCCGTGCCCATAGTGAACACATACTGTCGGGTAATCAAGTTAAATGTTCTGTAGTCTATATATTCTAGGCTGCCTGCATAGGTGACAGTAACTGTGTCACTGTTCATTGCACATAACACACTGCCTGCTCAGCCCCTCCCGGAACTGTCACGTCCTCAGCACACACACTCGCACACTCCTCAGATGACCCTGCACTCAGCATTTGCATGACATGAAAACTTTTAGCTCTCTGCACCACTGATCATTATCATTAAAAAAAAAAAAAAGGATACACATCAAGGTAGGGTGCTCACTTAATCAGAAGTTTCTATCAACATCTTTCTCTTCTGTGCTTTTCTCTGGCATTAATTGTGCATTAGCAAAAATCATTTACTTTTAACAGTCATAGTTATTTTTTCTTGCCCTCCAGCAAAAATGCCTTGAAAGCCTGCCTGGAGGGCATCTAAATTATGTATCTGAAAAACTCTTCTGGCAAGGCATTGCAAGACCCCTACTTTCTTAAAATTCATACGAGCACGTCTTCCTGTTTTTGGGAAGGCATCAATCAAGAGCAGCAATATATGCCATATCCCTACATTAATATTTGAACTAATAACTTTAAAAAAAAGGAAAGAAACAAGATCCGACTTGTGGCATAATCAAATGCAAAATAAATGAAGAATACGGGGACAGCACTGGGGCTTTATAGATGGCTGTGTTTCCCTTGCACATCATTAGCCTGGAGCCACACGAAAGAGGCAAACAGAGAAGTGGAGAGTTTATGCTCCCCGCTGGTGTTTAAGAAGCCAGGGTCCTGGAAGGACATCTGGGAATTGCGCTGAGATGGGGGTTTTTGTAATTTAAGAATAGACATTCATTAGCAGTAAATGCCATAAATCCCATGCTAAGTAAAAACCTTGTCCAAGAAAGCCTAAAACAATAAACTCTGTGCTCAATGTAGCCTGAGCTCGCCGCTCCGCAGCTTCCTGGGGAATGCCACAGACCCACAGTTCATTCCCAGACCGGCTCCCTCCTCTCGCACTGGGCCACACCACCACATCCTGCCCATGGCGCCCTCCGCCTCCCCACTTCAGGGTCTGCTGTGTGGGCTCCCCTGTACCTGTTCTTTTCTTTTCTTTCCAAAAAAAACAAAAAACAAAAAACCAACAACAACAAAAAAACCAACAACAAAAAAAAACCCTCAACCTTCTTTGACCAGAGAAGCAGAAAAGCCACAGCAAAGAGCTGGCAGATTAATTTTATTGACATTTCCATTTTCACTGCAATGCGATACCCTCCATCACATGGAAGAGATGACCCTCACTATTTACAGACTGACAGGCCACTTCATTACAACCACCCTGCCCCAAGGCAAAGCAGCTCCCTTCCATCTGCCCAAACACTAGAGCATGACCCCGAAGTTGCTGTTCTCTTTTTCTTTGCCGTCTGTTATGATAAAAAAAAAAAAAAGAAAGAAAAAAAGAGTGACTCAAAGGGACCCCAAATAGTCCAAGAACTAATCAGAGTACAGGGAAACAAAAGGCATTTGACTTTGGAATACTGAATACAGGGAGTGTACTCTTCATCGGTCTAGGCTCCCTGCACACCCATGTACACTGCGGGGCCGCGTGCACAAGGACGGGGACACACACACACACACACACACACACACGCACACACATGCTTTCCACCACGGCAAGCAACTGCTGCAAGGCAAATTCTCACCCACACTAATGGCTTCTGACTGCTCCTTGGCAACCCCAGCATTTTAACCTGGGTGGATGTGCTCTCCAAAATACAGACACTGGAGCGATCTCATCAGCTGTTCATGTGACACAGATGGAGAGTGGCTATTAGGAGCCAGGCAGTGGGCCTTGGGGATCTGAGGTGCTGTTCTGTAGCCTGAGGCGATTTTGAAAAGCAGTACCCGGAGATGAGGAAAAAAAAAAAATCCACACTGCAAGTGCAAGTTTGAAGTCAGTCAGTCTGTCTACCTACCATGGATAAAGATATCTTTGTCCCTTAATGGAAAAAATCTATGGGGCTATCTGGATGTACACTTCAGATAATGTATGTATGGAATGGCTCTTCCTTCAATGTCTTCCAAATATAAAAACACATGCTGTAAACAATGCCTGTGTGTATATATTTCTTTCTACGCACATATGGTTTCTGTGTATATGTTTAAGCTGAAATTGTCAGGATTTTGTTAAAATCTCATTTCGCTTTTTTTTTTTGATAGATTTTTGAATATACTTATTTTCAAAGGTTAATGGCTCAAACGAGAGAAGTTCAACCAAAAAAGGCATTCGCCTTTTAAACCCAATCAATGACCTTAACAAATGAGAGGGAGCATTTCCACAGAGCATTTTCTCTTCCTTAAAAGCAAAGAGAGCTCGTAACACCTTCAAACTATATGACTCACTATATTTAGCTCAAGGAAAAAAAATATAGCTAGATTGAGCATCCTGTGATGACTGACAAACTGGAGAACACAGGAGCAATATATGAGTTCTAATATAAAGCACTCCATTTTATATAAATGTAAAATATTTGACCTGGGATCCACTGTACCAAATAATGGTAAAGAAAAATGGGCCTATTTTTATCATAACTAGATACTAGACATTAGATTTTTAAATGAACATTAGTGTTCATACCTCTATAAAGAGGAATTCCCCTCTCCAAGTACACAATAAATACCATTGCCTTTTCCTTCAATAGGTTGTGAACCATCTCCAGCATAGAGGACTAGCAACAGCATAAAGCAAAATTTCAAAAGGCAACTGTGTGATCTGCAACCTAAAAAAAAAAATTGTGCCGATGATGCCAGAGCTAGTAACTAGGAAAGTGGATATTGTTTTCTTGTGTTCCGGCTGTGTGTGTGTGTGCATGTAAGATAATTGTCAATCCGTGGCCCCTGTGCCACATGAGTTTCTGTGCAGAAAAAGGGTGTGTATACCAGGACAGATGCATGTACCAAGGGAGGTATAGGAGGTAACAGCGAACATCTCAGCATCTGAAGCTAGGATTCCAAAGTGTGGAATCCCTGAGGACAGGAACTGTTTCTGGTTTTATCTTTTTATCCTGAAAGCATACCTCCATGTCTGGCCCAGAGCACATACCCAAGGATTCCTGGCTGAGTGAATGGCTGAACTTAACAATGAGCTTCTTCAAGGGCCCACCCTTCTTTTTGATGATCCCAAACTGGGGCAAGCACACTCATTACAGTACCCAAGGGGCTGGGTGGGTTGCTCTTGTACACATAGTCACTTCTAAACATGCCAGGAACGGTGCTTCTTCGAAGAACTTGGTGCCCATGAGGGCCTTTCCGAGGGGCTGAGCCACAGGCCATTCCACCAGCACTGCCCCCTCTGATGATGACAAGATAAACAGCGAAATACTGAGCATGCTTCCTTTAAAAGGTTGCTAATCCCTTCACTAAAGGCACAGTCTAAGTTTTGGGCAAAGATATTCAAAATAGCTGTGTATTACCGTAACACACAGTGTGTGACCATGGGAAGAAATATTCAAGGCCCGTGGATAGGTAACTTTGAAGTGGATTAAATCATCGGGGAGATTGTTAAAATCACAGGTCCCCAGGCCTCATCCCAGACTTACTGAAATCAAAATATCCTGGGGCAGGGACAAGGAATTTGTGTTTTTAACAAGTTCCTTGGGTTTGCTTATGCAATCAACCCAGCACTGGTTCTTAAACTGGCTCTTGGAAGCCACTAAACTAGCTGATTTGAAATAAAATGCAGCCTCAGTGAAAATTCTATTGGGTTGTTGGAAAAGTCATGACACATTTTTGCAATGGAAAACATAGAAAAAATACGTCATGACTTTTCCGACAACCCAATATTTTACTCTCCGGAATGGGGTTAGTGGTCTTGGGGAGCACCTGTAGCCTGCCTTGGGCCTTAGTCACTGTAAGAAAGACATCGTGTTTTGCATCACATGTCCTGGCCAATGTAATGAAGCCCCATCCTAATCTTCTGGGGGTGAGGTTTAAACAGTAAGAAAAGCTGTAGAATACTGACCATCAAAATGAGGACCACTGGCGAAAAAATTGTGAGAAACGCAAATTCTTGGATCCGCCCCAGACCTACTGAATCTGAATCTCCGGGAGTGGGGCTCTAACAATCTGGGGGTCACTAAGCACCCCAGGTGATTCTGAGGCCCACTAAAGCTTGAGAAGCACTGCTGTAGAGCACAGAGCATCCCCTCCACCTGCCACCCCGGGGATGGTTGTCAGAAGGCCTGAATCGAATCCTTAGGTATTCCTTTTGTTTTAACACTCGGAGGTATTTTGGGGAGCATCTCCTGCTGAATTTACACCCACACTCTGGAGGAAGTCACACATCCTTTCCACAGCTGAGCACACTATTGCTCAGAGCAGGGTTTCCAGGTGGAGGCAAAATCCATATCCCCAGTTGTATGGCCAGTGAATCAAGGAAAGATAAGGGCATATTACGAGAGGACCCTCAGATGGTTCTAAAGCAGAGATTCCCAATCTGTAAAATTCTTGGTCATAAAAACTACCCAGGCAAAAGGACACCACTTCCTCTCATTGGCATATAGTCTTCTTCCATCTAGCCAAAAATCTGTCTATATGGTAGACATCAAGGGCTTGGCTTGGAATAAAGAAATGATGCAGACAGCGATGATAGGCTACAATGAGTTCAATG